AACATGTCAACTGTATCACCGAATTTTGCTTCCACCTTGCGGCTGAAGTAGCATTTTAATCCTGGTCCAAACAGTTCCATGATGTATTCTGCTACTCTGACGACGCATGGAAACTTCACCTTCTGCTATGCAGGCTTGGTTCTGCTGAACACAACAGATATTCCAACTTTATCTTATCCCGGAACTCTCCCGATTGGTTGTTCGACGAGACAGTGCAAACTTGTGAAGCATCGTAGTGTGGCCGATTTTATCACGTATGCCGGCGTGGTCAATTGCGAATGCAAACGATTTAAACTATGCTGTCTCACAGACGACTAGTTCAAGTGCCTCGTGTTTATGTGTGGTCTTCACTTAGCAAAGAATGCTCATATACGTACTTAGCCCTTAAGTGTAGTTGAGCTGGATTCTGAAATGAGGTTACAGAGTCATTACTGGATGCCAGTGTCTGATTGATCTGTAACACAATGCGACTATGGTCCATCTTACTGACCGCCCTCTCTGTTCTGTCATCTCTCTGGGAGTCCCCAGGTGTTCTTCCAGCACCATTCGCCCATTTCATCTGCGTGTTGGCACTGTGGTGACTACCATTTCCCATGTTTTTGATCGTTCAGACGCCAGCGATGTGACTAGCTTGGTTATAAGACGGATTTTGTCAGATCCGGCCCATATTTAAGAAGCCCATGAGACCGAAGCAGCGAACAGGACGTGCTTCTTAGGCCGTTCACTCCCCAAGATTCGCTTCTCGTCAAAAATTCGTATCTGTAACAATCAACAAGTATTTCGCCAAAATTCAACCAGACTGCCTCCGATATCACGATAAACTCCAACGAGCTGTGGATTTTCATGGGTAGCCCACCTGTTCAATTTACCTCCCTGTGGTGATTCGGTTCGCCTAACTGAACAGCTTTCCTCTTCTGCTACCTTCGGAGACACCACCATCAATTAATTTTGCTGTATCTAAGACCCCATTCTCAATCTTCTGGGCTTGGATTGGCTAGACGAGCTAGATCGTGTTACTTCTATACTAAATGTCATCAGTCGTCGACTTCAAATTCCATAGACCAACTCTGTTGTCCTTGACTTTTCCAATATTTTTCAGGATGGCCTTTGCTGTTACACACGATCCCAAGTATCCCTCAGATTAAAACCTGACTATGTCCCATCGTTTCACTTAAATCGACCAGTGCCCTAGGCTACGCTTCCGATGGTAGACTAGGAACCACGCCGCCACGGGAATATAGGTATCATCTCTCTGGTCACTTATTCTCCTTGGACAGTTCCGATTGTAGTTGCCAAAAAGACAGATGGTTCAATTCATATGTGTGCTGACTTTTCTACTAGATTAAATTTCATCGCTAAAAGATCATTGTCATCCGCTGCCGATTCCTGGAAATATCTTCTTCATGCTTAAAGTTGGAACTTAGCTTTGCCAAGCTGAATCTGCCGGATGCCTACTTTCAAGTCAAAGTATCCCCGTAGTCCCGCAAACTGCTGACCATCAACGCGCATCGCTGTTTGTTTCCGTATGACCGCCTACCCTTCAGAGTCAAGCTATTTCCTACTATTTTTCAACAGATATTGGATTCTATTGCCTATAGCGTAACCGGTGCTGCAGCCTATCTCGATGATTTTATCATAATGGGTCGCACTACAACAGACTTATCCGGAAGGATCTCTGAAGGTGTACGTCGTGTTGTGGAGTATGGTTTCCGACTGCAACCAGACAAGTGTCGGTTTTTCCTTCTAGAAATCAAATATCTCACTTCCACCATCGACAAAGTTGTTCACTTTCTCGATCCTGAAAATGTGTATGTAATCCAGGAGATGCCCTTTCTGAAGAATGGTCATCTATACAGTCGTTCCTCGGGTTAGTGCTTCACTACGGCACATTCTTGCCAGCTCTCAACGATATCAGAACACAACTGGATAAATTACTCTAAAGAAGCGTGGTTACCTGAAATTGAACCCGCGTTCAACCCGACCTCCTCCTGACACATTTTGATCCCGAGCTGCCCATAGTAGTCGCTGAAGGCCGTTCCAGCTATGACTTTGGTGTGCTCCTCTCCAAGGTGTTTCCCGACGGATCTGAGTAAGTAATCATGCATGCTGCTCACGCACTTACCACAGCCAGGAAGATTTATGCTCAAATCAAAAAGAAAGCTTTGTTACTAGGTTCCTCGTGAGATGATCTGTGATCGCCACTTCCGCTTTCTGACAGACCACAAACCGTTGCTCGCTACCTCCGGCTTTAGCAAAGGCTTTCCGACGTATTCAACCACCAGACTGCATTGCTGCGCAGCTTTTCTACTGAACTATGACTTTGACATCTGTTACCGATGAACATAAGGTTTTTGGCAATCTGACGCCTTGTCGCAGTTAACTAATGCAAATCGGCAAGATCAGAAAGACATTATCATTGCAACAGTCTATCCGGTATCGGATATTCGTGCGCACCTGACTGCGGCTATCCGTTCAGTTCCGGTCACTCTTTGCGACATCAAGAGAGGAATGAACACCGTTCCTATCCTCCAAGTAACGATTGATTGTGTCCGCAACGGATGACACACTCACTTAGACCCATGACAGCTTTCTCTTCATCTCTAGACAGTTTGTTCATAATCGCTTTCTGTATAGTATTTGCCGATCGTATTGTCACCCCCCTTTTCGCTTCGACTGATCGTCCTGCATCAATTTCTCACAGGCCATTCTGATGCAGGGCGTTTGTAGGCTATCGTCCGGAACTATGTCTATTGGCCGGGTATAGACAAACAAATAGTGAGGTCGTTCCACTAGTGTTTCCGTTGGCAGCAGGTCGCCAAAAATCCTCCGCGTATAGCCCCACAACAATGGGCCGTGGTCACGTTTGCACATTTATTTCGCTGTCCTAATCAACGGCATCACGTAACTAATCGTAGTCGATGCAATGTCAAAGTGGCCCCAAGTAATTCCACCGTCATAGCCGACGTCATCACCCACCATCGCTGCTGTGTGCAGAATTTTCAGCCATCGCGAGTTTCCGTAACACCTGTTTTCAGATAACGGGATCCAATTTACATGGCCACTTATCCAGGATTTCTGCCGTCGGAGTCTTCTTAACCACCTTCGCACCCAACACTGTCAGAGGGGCTTTCTTGAAAACGCAACGGTAAAAAACTGCAAACGAAAACATCCAGAATTTTCTTATGCTTTACAGAAACGCGCTGAACCCGGTAACCCCAAATGAATCCTTCCATGCCGTATGCCTTACGGGACGAAAAACGCGCACCATTTTTAATGCAATGTTCCCGTTGAAAAGCCGTCACGAACCCAAATACACACGTCAGAGTCAACAATTTCACTTGGTGGCTTCTTTTCCTGTGAGTATAGACAAAGTCATTCATCTTGGACCACAGTAGTGGTCATAGGTCACTGTGGTTCCGTAATGCACGAATTTACTGTTGGACAACATAAATGGGCACGACATAATAACCAAGTTTGTCCACACCATGACATTATCACAACTACCGATGATTAAAAAAATTACCGTTTGACATACTACTAAACGCGTTCAGGTTCCCCCGAGTTCGTTGACAGAATTTTCACGCCCAGAAGATGTACTGACCGGAAACGTCGTTCAACAAGATCCTTGCAGCCCGATCCACGTCGTCCAAAGTACGAGCTTTCCTAAGAGAGTAAGCGTTGGGAAAACCGGTATTTTCCCAAGAATTACACTAAGTCAACCGAAATGTAGATTTATGATTAGCCCTGTCATTTTGATTTTAATGGTGGCGACCGAAAGTCCGTTCCCTACTGAGTTAGCATCATAATAGACCTCTGTCGGAGTTGCCTTGCTGGGGTTCGAGCTATCGATTGGGAGCCGAATCTGTCCCGCGTGTGAGCCGTGTTGTGTTACTTTGTGAGCTTATTGTGCCTGTGTGCGTTCGCACAGAATTACATTGGTGGCGGCTAGGTCATAACGCCTTCACATCAGTGCAATTATTTTTGTACGGCGGCGGAGCACCGGTACGTATACTTTCACACCTCACGTCCTTTATATATATATATATATATATATATATATATATATATATATATATATATATATATATATATATGCAACAGCCTACGAATAGGTATGGAGCCATCAAAAGCCATGGGACTCTAAGTAAGTTACAGATATCGTTAAAAAAAGATCGACACGAAGGAGTCCATGGTTTTGTCAGAGGGCGAGGTGCTACCCGGTTGTCCAAGCCGAAGGACCACGTTGAGCCTATGGCCGAATAGCCTGCCCGCAAGGCGGCAGAGTGAATTCAGGGAATCGCGCTCATTGGGAGCCGTTGACTAATTGTGGTTCAAACGCGTTCCGTTTGTTCGTTTGCCAAACGGGGGTCCAATGCTCCCCACAATTTCAGCATTAAGTTGCTTGAATATAATGCTTCGCCAGTATGAAGCAAGAGGCAGTGACTTTATTTACTGGCGAGTCACATCCGCCACGTCACAGTGTTGTTAAACGGACATATGTGGTTTCTTATAGTGAGATCTCTTGCCAGTTGAAAACCCACCCACCACGTCCTTAGCCAGCCGGCGACTCACATTACAACTTTTCCTTAGTTCCCTCCAATTCGCTCCTTATTGATCTTGTCAACTCCCTAGTACAGCTACAAAGAGGCCTTGTACCACATCGCATACTATTACATTGCAATAGGCCGTTCTAAGCTTTGTTGCGCATTGCGCATTTGTTGCATTCTGTTTTTATACAATCAAGTCATTCGTTTGTCTCTTGATGCTCCTCCACATTGCTCATCTGAGGCCTGTCCCCAATCAACTGGGATAATTCCAGTGTTGTGCCGTTTTCATGGTTCTTTGCGTTTCTTGTTATCGTGTATTGTGCATGAGCCTCCGAGCGTAGACTTTTGTAAACTGCTGCTGCTCGTCACGCCATTTCTGCTACCACCAAAAATTTTCCAAATCATGCTTGCCTTGCTTATTCACTCAGATACCTATCCTCTTTATACTTGTAGAACTGGGGATCAATTTCAATCACATAATGGAGAAGGTAAGTTCATCATTTTTTTACACACGATGCGGCGATGATCTGCTGGGTTGCTTTGGGGTGTCCAGCAGTCGATGCTAGCGACCGTTTGAAGTGTTTTAAGTATGTCTACGTGTGTTCGAGCACGTGCTCATCATAATCTATCGATCATCATTAACTACCGTTAGGAAATATTCTTGAATCTCCTAATTTTCGAAGCCCATTTTAATTTTTTATTGTTCCTTTATGAAGCATTTTGACTTACTTATTTCTTGCCCGGAATTGGATCATTGACGAAGTTTTTCGTCTTCATTGTGTGGAGCGGTCATAAATAAGGAAAGTTTTTTCTTGATCTGGTGCGCAGCAGTAGCCGCGTTACTGGATGCTTTTCTTCCACTAGCAACTGCTTGTTAGTTTTATTTTAGTGTGCCGGTTGTGTGAGCGAGTCATGACAGGATCTAATTAAGACCACCTTTAAGTTTGGTTTGAACCTCGATTAGTTCGAAAATACTCATGTATGTTGGCTGCTCCTAGCTCCCCATCTCGCGACTGGTTTGGAGCTTGTTTGCAACGGGTAACGATTATTGAAGTGGGAATGGAATTCGCGACGTGGAAAATGCCAGTTGACGCCCTTTTCCCTATACCGCCGAGCTCCGTGATTGACCCTTGTCACAACTCTTAACCCTATTATCAGCTTGATTTTGAGTACTTATTATGTGAACAAATTTCGACCTACGCTCCACACGGTTTACCTTCTCTTACTGTCCTTCTCTTGTTCAAATTCGACGTATTAACCTTTATTATCCGGATTCGTCTTTAAAACTGCTTGTTTATCTTGGGGCAGCGACGGAACACACAAGGTGCTTCATCTACACTAGTCCGCTTTCAAGTAGAAAAGTTCGTCGCATGATGACAATGTAATCATTTTCATCAATGAACTATACCTTTTCATTATCCTCAGACTAATAGGTCATCTACCGTCACAATGTATACTGATGAGTAAGATTCTTGATGATATTTTACTAGTTCATCCCAGCTGCTCACAAGCCGGATTAGTCTAACCCCAATCCTGAGAAACACCAGACGGTCGTTTCGTCCCATTGGGGTTGCACTACTCTGGCTCATCGGCAGCTGGGATGAACCATTGAAAACACCACAATGTGTGTCAACATTAAATCTGCCTACGTTTTTAGATTCTTACTCGTGATCATTTGTGGGCAATCTGTATCATGCATGATCTGCTGTTTAAGATCCGATGTTCTACTTTTCAACTCCAAATCGCATTCTGTTCCCGACGTTAGCAATGTTTCTCATTCGTACTTGCCCTCAGTGTTAACTATTGCGGTAATTATGGGGTCTCACTATTTAGACAGCTGTGTTTATGATTGTGATCACCGTCAAGTCAGCTGTGGTCCCGGACACCTTTATCGACCAAAGCATCCATGAAATCTATACCATGCCCTTGGTTTCCTTTGATATGATCTGCTGTACTGTTGCTGGCTCTGCTGTGTTGCGCTCTTGTAATGTCTTGCAGCCGTCGCAATGAGACGGGAACTTCACGTCGTGCGATGGTTTGCCTACCACTTTGACCCATTGAGCTATACTGGGTGGTGCCCCCGGACCCCTTGAGAGCTACTACTACCAGGTTGATCAATGGTTAGAGGTCAGATAACCTCAGTCTCCTGTTCCTCCAGGTTGTGGGTTTGAAATGGGATGACGTCCATTTCTGTACAACTAAATCATTGCCACTTCCCACTGCCTTGCGGACGGGCTTTTGTGCCAAAGGCAAAGCCTAATCGTTCTCCTGTCTAGGTCTGGGCGCCGTGGCAGTATCTCAGCCCACATACAACCATGGCAATTTCCTCGAAGTTAATCTACATCCTGAATCAGCCTTCGCACAGATTATCAACAGTCCCATTATTTGGTATGCGCTTCACACCTTCAAAGTGAAAAGTGTTGCTGCAGGACCACCAGCCACTTGATGATCTCTTGACCCTAAATAGCGAGAAACTCGAGGTAGTTGATCGAGTTACTTACGTTGGCAGCTGTATCAGCAATGACGGGTGCATTACAACTGAAGTAGTTCACGTATAACAAGGGTCAGAAGTGCCTTTCTGATTATGCGACATCTTTGACGACAGAAAGGAGTTTCCCTCTGTCTGAACAGCCATGTTTACAAGACCACAGTGAAGGCCGTCCTACTCACAGGGAGTGATACTTGGCCCCTTCGGTCTGAAGATCTGAGGCGCCTTCAAGTCTTTGATCACCGTTGCCTGCGGATCATTGCTGGTGTCGGGTGGCACCAGCTTGTCCGTAACGATAATGTGCGTAGGCGAGTGCCAGGCAATCATACTCAAACTAGTTCCTTTGAACAACAGATAGCACTGAATATATTGCATTGACTTGGGCACGTTTTACGTATGTCCGATCCCCGCTTACCAAGGAGCGCCCTGTCCTGTCTGCCAGATGTAGAGGGGCGCGCGGTCTGAGGTGGACATAAGTTGACTTGGCAGCGAGAAATGAAGTCACTAATGACCAGACTTGGTGCCGTCGGTCCGTCTCGCCTTCCCGGCTGGAATACACATGACTCGCCTTTTGCTTGGCTCGAGACTTTACAGGACGTGGCTCGCAGTCGGCACCAGTGGCGCGTCCGCTGCCGTCACCTAGTCGGACTGCCTGTTTAACGTTTGTCGGTGCTGAGTTGTCTGCGGGGTAATGGTTGATTATGACGCGGGCAATGAAAACCGCAAGCGAGCTGGTTGGCCGATGCCGCCTTATCTTTACAGCGTAGCCAGCTGTTTGTGATGTAGTTTGTTGACAAGTTCTAGGCGCCTTGACCCTGAATGTTTGCTTAGGGCATTAAGGTTTTCCAGTAAGTCTCTCTTCTCTTCCTCTTATAATTCTTCGTTCTGTAAATCGTTATGGTTGTATGGCAGCGAAGCATCAATCCAAATGGCTGACGTGCTGCTGCTCTTGAGGATGCTGCTGCTGCTGATGGTAATGATGCTGTTGAAAGTCTTGCAACTCCAATGGGGTGTTTGGTTCACCGTATTATATCCACTTATGGCACCACAGAAGACATCTCTCATCTCCTGGACGATTGTTCAATAACGTGCGACATCTGTATATGCGAGGCTAACAACTCTAGTTTTGCCTCCTTTTTTGTCCCTAACACAGCTCTTTCATCCTCCACTTCCAAAATGAACGAACATGCTACTCTGTAATATTCCTGTGACGTCGAGGGAGGTGCAAATGCCATCGCATCCATAAAACCAGGACCAGACGGCATCGCTCCAACTGTTATTAAACTCGGCGGAAAAAATCTCTCTACTGTTATTAAACATCTTCACGCTTTCACTCCCTACCGACTGCTTCCCATCTCAGTGGAAGCAATACATTGTTATGCCTAAGCACAAGAGTGGCTCGCCCTATAAACCATACCTCTGTTTTTTTCCAAAGCCCTAGAGCGAATAGTCAAGAGGAACATTGTCCATTTTATTACATGACTGGATTTGATCAATCCCTCACAACATGGCTTTCTCAGTAAACGCTCCTGCGTTACCTGCAAGCTACAATTCTTCGATCATGTCACGACTATGATTGACAGAGGAATGACAATCAATATACTTCTGTTAGACATGCAGAAGACGTTCGACCGCGTGCCGCTGTCCGTTCTGGAGTCATATGGCATTGGAAACCCTCTGCTAAGCTAGTTCGACTCATACCTAAACGATCTAACCCAGGTCGTTAAAATCGGTCAGCAATACTCTGCATCAAAACAAATAACCAGCGGCGTCTTTCAGGAAAGTGTGTTCAGACCACTACTTTTCCTAATCTACGTACACAACATTTGCGACCCGATCAAACATGGACGCCCATTTCTGTTTGCAGATGACGTCAAACTGGTCTACTCATTTCATTCAGATCAATTACAAATCTGCGTGGGATGCATCTGTGAAGACCTATCCGCACTAAATATAGCTAGTTAACGTTTGTTAATGAAGTTCTCCGCAGTAAAATCCCAAGCGTTGGGATGCAGATGCCGCATTCCGGAAGGCTCTATCACGCCGGAAATGCGATCCCAACATTTGTTTCAGTTCGGAACTTAGGAATTATGTATTCCAACTCTCAATTTCTCTAAACATGTGCTTTATCAGGTTGCAAAAGCGAGGCAGCTATGTGGATACATCACCAGAACTTTCTCCCTACCTGAAACACGACTTGGGTCATTCAAGATAATAGTACGACCGACTCTGGAATACTGTACTATCGTTCAAAGCCAATGGAGAAAAAAGTCAACATCTGTGGAAAATGTCCAACGATCATTTACCAAGCTGGTCATGGGGCGCTGCTCAAACCTGAGTTATTATGGTCGCTATTGACAACGCCAAATTGATACTCTTTGGCTGAGACGCTTAAGGAATAACCTCGTTCTCTTCTACAACATTTTAACCAACGCATTTACGCAGCCAGCACCGCACTTGAGCTGCGGAAGACTGCAGTCTACCCCACACGAAATGGTGGCTACTTGCTACGCACAAGGCTTGCAAGTCATAAAACTCGATTGAATTTCTTCTTAGATACACCGATCTGTAGAACAAACTACTCCTACAAATACGCATGAGTGCAAACCATGTCACATTCGAAATTCCATACAGATCTTCCTCACTATATCAAATGTGTTGAAGATCTTTGACTCAAACTAAACTCTAGAAACCTTGATGGATGATGGTATAAATAACATCTGAGCAGCTCATTGCTTACAATCAGCTTACCCATTCCATGTCATTACCCACAAAATCAAATCCTGTGTCCATGCAACCTATTATCTCCTTCCAATCATTATCTACTCCTGAGCGTCACAAACTAGAAAGTGCTGATACAGTACAGTTTACATATTAGGTGATCGGATCTAGACCCCGGGGGGGATATTCATGGTCTGAAATTCTATTCTTAAAATTTATTTTACTACCAAGAAGTTATGTCGCATAAGCCATGAAACCTATTCACTGCACAAATGATCT